TTTTGGAGGAATGCATGGCTCTATAGATATGCTCATACATTTCCTCCACCTCCTCATCGGGGTGTACCGAGGTTGGTGCGTAAACCTGTATGACCTTCAGCGAATACGGTTTGGTGATTCTGAGTATAAGGTACGCAACCCTCGTCGACACACTCCCGATCTTTACAACGTTGTTAACGAGAGACTTGTGGACGATAAATCCGACACCTCCTTGGGACAGATGGTTGCCCTCCCGGTGATAGAGCAAGTTGCCGGATTCGAGGATTACCGTGTCCTCCCCCTCTCTTCGGACTTCGGATAATCCTATAATATGCCAGCGCAACTTGTCTATCTCTTCTTCCAGCTCCACGATCCTCTCGTCAGTCCTCAGGGTGCGTGCGTTGTACGTTGCCAGGTCGAGTCGTCTAAGGTGGCAACCGAACCTCCACCGGAGATTCTTAGCACCCCCTGCCTCGCCGTTACCATGGTCGCCACCGTAGCTAGGAATAGCGGGGCCGCCGGGGACTGGGGGCCGTCTGTTTGTTGCTTTAGTCATTGGGGGGTATTTGCCATAGTTGCCACGCTTGGCGAGCGGGTTGGCAACCGCAGTTTTTTTATTGTAATTTTGGCTATTATCAGGAAGATGCTGCTGCCCATCTCCTGCCTGTTTCCCTTTGTCGCCTTTTACGACACCCATGGTAGGATATGGGGTAGTGGATATTCTTGACCGCCACTACACGGCATTAATGTTTATAAAATTCAATAATATTGTACACCAGAAATGGTTAATGTGTTGTACTATAGTTTCTATAACAACTGTAAAACACACACACATTGTGCAAAATAAATAAATTAATTAATTTAAAAAAAATAACCTCTCAAATATATGGGAATTCACCAAATAGGTTTCTCAGGCTTGAGCCAAAGTTACTCGAATTTGCCTTAAATAAACAAAAAGTTTAAAAGTTACAGAATACAAATGTTTGAAATTTCCGCTAAAAAAGTTTTATATGGGCGCCCACAGTGGCGCTTGTAGTGTACACTCAAAAACATATGTTTCCTTTTTTTAGTATGCAGTTGGCGTTCTTCTCTCGGTAAAGAGTAATTGTGTTCTGTGGGCTATATTATTCTCACCCTTTTTTAAGGTTGTTGCGTTGTTGCCGTTGTTCCATTCCATAGACACCTCAACTGCCAAGGATGTACCAATAGCGAAAATAAAAAACGTTGCTGATAAATTCATTTATTCTATAATACATACAGACATAGTAAACTTAAGGAGTCGAATAATGCGGAATTTCGCACTAACGTGGTAATTTAAAATTTGTCAAATTTACAGCCTATTAAAGGTCCACTGCTGAACATAGGTCTTTTCCATAGATTGCCTCATAGGAGGTATATTTGCCATAGTTCACTCTCTCAGTAATTGAGTTGGCAACCGTATTTTTTATTATTTTAAATTGTTATGAGATACTGATACACCTAATTCCTGTTTAATTTGTCTCTAATGATTTTTACGATTCTTACCGGCTTTTAAGTAATAATATATATTATTTGGTAGGAGTTATTGTATTCTCTAACGCCACCGCTACACGGCATTATCGAATAATGCCCACTTCGTGAATGAAAATGATAACAAGAAAAGGCTATTCTTAGCAATATTTACCTTACATGATTAAATTTATGTGGTGATTTCAACTTAAATTGTAATATGATATTTAACGGGAGTACATTTTTGGACTAGCCATCTAAGCATGAGAGGTTTTTATAACGTACAATTGTGTGCACAAATACAAACACGCTATTTCCAAAATCTGATAGTTCGATGGGATGACAATCCGAAACAACCTATACTTAGAAACTACATTGTCAATTGTGACTGCTAACATTCTATTTGTTCAATAAAATAGTGATTTTATTTATATTATTTTTTCAGATGGAAGCAATGGGTGAAATAGCTGGCACTTGAACCAATTGAAAAGATTCACATGTTAAAACATATTTTTGTGGCAAACATTGCATTTGAACCCAACTAAAGTGAACTGTTTTTTTTTTATAGGATAGGGTGAGAAACGAGCACATAGTCCACCTAATGGTAAGTGATTACTGTTACCCATAGACATCTACATCTATCCTCAATAAAGTCTGATGCAGATGCGTTGTCACCCGTGAGGACTAAGATGGAATGCCTCTTTCCCAGTAAAAAGGGTTTCCGGTTCTCTACACTCACCATACGAAACACAGCAGCATTAAGCTGCTATTTTACGCTGGTTTTCTGTGAGAGCGTGGTCCTTCCCCAGTCGAGCTGACCCATTCGTGCTACAACTATACTACTAATATAGCTGCAGCATGTCTCTACCACGTACACATAAATTAAGTCCACTGATGAAATAACACTTACGTACGTGTTATTATATTAGTGGACTTAATTTAAACTTCCACAATTATGTGTATGTTAATTAGGTTTCATTTACATGTAGCAAAAGATAATATCCCTCTAAAGTCACATTTTACTAAGAATTCGATTATATAATTAAACTCAAAGTTTTTTGTAATTACCTGGTTATAAATAATATTTTTATAGATTCATCTACAAACATTAGCTATAATGAGCACTTATTTTGAAAGCGACATTTAGTAAACGATCTCTACGAGTAGTATGTACCTCTGTGAAGAAGCCTTGCGGTTTGTACATAGTATTTGTTACACTTAAAAGCAATTTATTCCAATCAGTGTTAAAAACCCAATATTTTTACGCTTTAAAATAAAACTAACGTTAAAAACAAGCATCCAGACGCAGACTATTTATTTTACAGCATAGCAAAACTTGTTCAGTGCGGGAACGAAGCCTCGGTCCTGTAATACCGCAGTCAAACGCTTAGCCACTGCGCTACGGAGTCGTCATTTATCTTTTACTTAATTAATTACTAGTATAATAGTGTGTATTTTATTTTAAATTTTCTCTATACATATATTTGTACCTAATTATTATAGAGATATAATTACAAATTGCTGTATGTAAAATATATTGATTTCTTATCCTCATCGGCATTTTTACTCAATCCTCATGTCAAAAAATTTATTTCTCATAAATAATTTGGTATAGAGACTTATATTATGTAAAAATATCAATAAAAAATATCGTAATAGTCGGTAAAGATTATCTCGATAAAATTATTCGAGTATAGTCATTTACAGCACTATTGTAATTCGTCAATGTTGTCAGCTTTGTTTGTCAAAAACTAAATATCATATCTTGATGTTGGTAGAATAGCTTGGAGTACTTTCATACATTTACTTTTACTATAGAAGTCCCGCCTCTTAGGCGTAGTGATTGTATTCCAAAGAGTATAGTAACTGCCGGAGAATTCAGACTTATAGTCTCTTTGGGTCACGCGTTTTCGGGCTGTCAGGTTGTCTATAAGCCAGTATATTCTAAGTCTATGGAACAGACTATACTCAAAGAGAATATAATCACTAGGTACGTTTAACTATACTCTAAGACCAACTCTAAGAAATACCTTTTGACAGCGGTCAGATTTATTGGACAAGGCATGCAACCTATGGAGGGTAGAGTACAAGGAGAACCATCTTATAAGGGGCGAAAGTTGAAAAAGTGTCCTACTATTTACTGAAAATAGAGGTTCGAAAACCTACCACAATAGCGCTGGCGTCTGAAAAACTATGATATGAAGATAGCTGTTGTGAACGGAGTGAAGTCAGCTGAATTCAAATATTTAAAAAAAATCATGACTAGATTAATTAGTAAAATGCCAGTATACAAAATCTCAACTATTTACGTAGTACAAAACCAAGCGGATTGGTCGGTCCTTGTTTATTTCTCTATCTTATTCTAATTACTTTTGGCGCCTTTTTTAAAATTTATCCTATGCTACTGCAGCGCCATCCTTATTGGACACGTTTTTAGGGACACTTTTCATATATAGAGATGGTCCTCCTTCTACTCTACACTCCATACATGCAACCGAAAAATCGGTACTTACAATATTCGATTCTTAAGAGAAATCGATTTTGATTCTTTAGAGATGATAATCATTTACATTTTTATCTAGATAAATATATGAATTAATTAGAAACAGATTATTGAAAACACAAAATTTAACAGTATCTTCTTATTTATTGCTTAATGCTAAATTTTAGAGGCAAAGTTATATAAATGAAAGACTACACCAGATTAAAAATAAATTTATTTAATCACTTTAAACTACAACTATAGTTTTTGCTTTATAGCATGTTGCGTGTGACAGCTTACAGTTTAGTGTGTATAGAGACGGAACAATTTCATTTTAAAAAAGGTGATTAACGATACACATAGCAAAGCAAATATTATCGATTAACTATCGATAAAAAGTTCAAACCAAAACATATATTTCCTTATAAATAAATTACAATGGGTGTAAATTTTAGTTACACTTTAATACAAATTATGACAGTATAGTTACTTATTATACCATGTATTCGTTTGAAAATAAACTCATCTTCTATTTTATGTTTATTGCAACATTTAAATTTTAGTGGTGCGATTTTGTGTATTAAGTATCTGCGCATATGAACTATTAGTAGAAACTAAAACTATTGTGAAACTATTGTGATGTGATTCTCAAGATTAGGTGTCTGTCTGCTTAGGCGCCTTGAGATACCATCGCCAACTGTCAGCTGTCTGTTGGCTCAAGTTGCCGTTAAAATCTTTCAAGGGCTGCCCAATGTGACGCATCATCATATTATGAAGCAGTGTACTATGAAGGATAAATAAACATCGTAACTTGAGGCTCACAAGAACTAGAACCCAGAGCCGTAAAGCCAGTTATAAAAAAAATGTCACAACAAACTTATTATAATTTTTCCTGTTTATGTTCATAGTTAATTTAATAACTATTATAGTGAATGAAGGACATAATTAAACTATAAATAACTTATAAGAAAAGGAAGTGATTATATTCTCTTTATTAGTTCACATTGCTTATCGCAAATAAACAAAAAAATCCAAAAAAATCAGTAATATTATGGTTATTCTTGATACAATGGAAAGTGTTGGAAATTTAGAAGAACAGGCCCTAAAGAGAAGAGAAAGGCTTAAAAATTTAAAGCGTAAACATCCTTCAGACAATTCTGGATCAGCAATTGAATCTAAAGGTGAAGCTATTATACTTCCAAAGTGAGTTTTCTTATGAAAGAGATTTGCATAATATTTTCTCAATTTTTGATTATACTGAGTTGAATTATATTAATTTTATTGTTCATGATTTTGATTTGATAACATGACCATTAACTTGATATACTTATAGACCAAAATTCAGAAGTTATAAACCACAAGATGAGACTTTACAAGAGGCTAAACTGGAAGATGCAGAACCAGCTGCGGTAGACAATGAAGTCAAGGATTTAATCGAGGCAGGCAAAGAAAAGGTATGATATCTTGAAATGTGTTGATCTATCATAACTAAGATATTGTATAGAAACAGGATTGTAATGTTAATTTTTTTTTTGTAAAATAGGGTGACAAACGAGCACACATGCCACCTGATGGTAAATGGTTGCTGTGGCCCATAGGCATCTATTCTCGTTTGCGAATCAAAATGCAAATGTGTTGTCACTAAGAAGGAATGCCTCTTTTCCATTAAAAAGGGTCTCTGGTTCTCTTCACTCACCATACGAAACACAGCAGTGTTAAACTTCTATTTTACACTGGTATTCTGTGAGAGCGTGGTCCTTCCCCGGTCGAGCTGACCCATTCGTACTACAACCATACTACTAATATAGCTGCAGCATCGCTCTACCATGTATTATATTTAACCTTTATTACAAACACCTTCAACTAGGGGTTACAAAGGTGGACTTAATGCCTTATGCCATTCTCTACCAGTCAACCCTGCATTATAATGCATTTGAATATTGAAAAACATTTGCCACATGATTGGTGGTGAAGTAAAACATTGTAAGGAAACCTGTATGTCTGGGATATAAGGAAAAAAATATTAAAAACTTTACTCTCTCGTCCTTAAACTCTCTCAGAAATGCAAGGAGGCCTGTGCCCAGCAGTGGGAAGTATATAGGATGTAACTTTTAACTTTTAATACTAATTTTACATGGTAGAGCCATGCTGCAGCTATTTTAGTAGTATAGTTGTAGCACGAATGGATCGGCTCGACTGGAGAAGAATCACACTCTCACAGAATACCAGCATAAAATAGCAGCTTAATGCTGCTGTGTTTTTCATGGTGAGTGTAGAGAACCGGAGACTCTTTTTACTGGATAGAATAGAATAGAATAATTTTTTATTCAATATTGATTATTACATAATACTTATTGAAAGTAATTTTTTTATTTACCACTGGTTCGGAAAATACCTCTGTCCTGGGAAGAACCAGCAAGAAACCCAGCGGGACTTTTATTTTTCAAACATATTTCACTTAACAATAATTGCGTTTATACAATTTTTAAATGATATTTCATAGAACCAGCATGGTGGCGATTACCTTATTCCCAGGGGTTATTTTCATTCATGTATTCCTTGATATTATAACAACCCTTTTTGTACAGTTTTTCTTTAATAAAACTTTTAAACTTGTTTATTGACAAACTTTGAATATGCTCTGGGATTTTGTTGTAAAAGTGTACACATTGCCCCATAAATGAATTACTGATTCTGTGGAGTCTAGTAACTGGCATTACAAGCTTATGTTTGTTCCTATTGTTTAAAGTATGCACATCCTTATTCTTATTAAAGCTATTTATGTTTATATGTACATACATTACATTTTGATAAATATATTGCGATGCCAAAGTTAATATGTTTATTTCTTTAAATTTTTGTCTGAGGGACTCTATACAATTTAGGTTGTAAATCGCCCGAACGGCTCTCTTTTACAAAACAAATATAGCTTCAATATCAGTCACATTACCCCATAGCAAAATTCCATAAGACATTACACTATGAAAGTAACTAAAATACACTAATGTAGCTGTCTCAACATCTGTTAGACTTCTAATCTTTCTTACAGCATATGCTGCAGAACTAAGTCTGCTTGCTAATTTAGATATATGGTGGCCCCATTGAAGTTTTGCGTCAATAGTAATACCAAGAAAAACAGTGGCATCCACAAGACTCAACTCCTCCCCATTTAACAGCACATTGGTATTTGAATGTTTTACATTAGGAATTATTCAATACACTTTGTCTTATTGCCGTTTAAGAGCATATTGTTGGCGTTAAACCAATGTACTAATTTCGATAGAGCATTATTTACATCGTCATAATTAATTGACTGCCGTTTGAGTTTGAAAATTAAAGAGGTATCGTCAGCAAATAATACTATATTGTGATTGTCCCCTACAAGATAAGGTAAGTCATTAATATAGGTTAAAAACAGAAATGGGCCAAGAATCGAGCCCTGAGGAATGCCTATTGATAATACCGATCCGGAGGAACCTTTACCATTGATCACGACTTTTTGAGTTCTGTTACTTAAATATGAAGTAATAAGTCTAAGCGCCAAATTTTTTACACCGTAATGTTGTAGTTTCCTGATTAATGTCTAATGGCATCTTGTAAATTCTCCCAGGCATTAAAAATATATTTCATAAGCTCAGCACCGGCGTCAGACATTGAGCGACCCCTTGTCAAACCAAATTGGTTTTTATGAAGTAATTTATTTGTATTAAAAAAAATTAACAATAGATACAAAATTATTTTTTCAAAAATTTTACTGAGAGTTGGTAGTACAGAAATAGGTAAATACTACCTTTTACGCTGCTTTTATTAAAAAAAAAATTAAATGTAGATAGCTGGAATTCATAATGTAAAACCTGTTGTATGTTTTTCAAAAATAATTATTTGGAAAAACTCACTGGATACCGTAATAGGCATTGTTAAAATAAATAATTATGCATGCACACTGTGCTTCTCTATATTTTTATAAAATTACGATACGATTTTCCAAGATCAAATGAGATCGATTCAATACAATACGATTAAATCGTGAATCGATTCACGAGGTTACGATCCATTACGATCCAGAAGATCGATTCAAAACAAAGAATCGGGTATCCCTAGTTAGCAAGACACTTGTGGACAATAAATCCGACACTTCCTTGGGACAGATGGTCGCCCTCCCGGTGATAGAACAAGTTGCCGGATTCGAGGAGTACCGTGTCTTCCCTCTCTTCTAACTCTTCATGCCCATTTATGACACGGTTTCCCTCTGTTGCCTCTTACGACACCCACGGAAAGTAAGTGGGGTAGTGGATATTCTTGTGTGATCTCTAGTGTAGTGTGTAGTGTGTGATATCTAGTGGATATTCTGAATAACTATCATCTCCCAAGTCTTTTCAGAACAAAACTATCCTCTGAGGTAAAATATTTAGGTCTTACCTTGGGCAGTAAACTCAACTGGAATAAGCACATAGAAAACAAAATCAACAAAGTTAGTATAATCTTCTGACTGTTAGTACTCGTATAACGTCTGACGCCAAAAATTATACTGTGGCTGTACAAAACTGTAATTCGGCCCATGATAACATACGGCGCTTTGGCATGGTGGACCAAAACAAATGAAGCCACCACTATAAAGAAGTTTCAGCATTACCAGAGACTGGCATGTATGGCCGCCTCGGGCTGCATAAGGATTACACCAACAGCAGCCTTAGAGGCGATGCTGGAGCTAACCCCGCTTCATCTAGACATACAACAATAAGCGATTTTAGCTGCTATTAGACTCAAGACCCTGAATCTTTGGAGTAAGAGTAGAGTCGCTCGTACAGATATAATTGATAGAATTTACTCAAAAATTCCAAGTACGATAAGATCTCCAAACAATTTGTATTCGATAAGAAGTATAAGATACAATTAAATGAACCCAGCCTGCCGGAGGGATTAAGCCCAAAAGAGCTTAGAGTTTTCACCGATGGTTCTAAAACAAATGAAGGTGTAGGATCTGGAATGTTCTCTGAAGACCTTAATATCCACATATGCACATCACTGGGTACCCACAACACAGTCTTTCAGGCGTAATGTAAGGGTATCATTCAAGCGGCCATAGCAATAGATGCTAGGAAGGTAAAAGATCTCCATCAGAATACTGACCGGCAGTATGGCGGTACTACAAGCTCTGAGTTGCAATGTGGTGAATTCGGGACTAATATATGAATGCCATCAACGATTAAATGAGGTATGTAAACACAACAATGTGACTCTGCAATGGATAAAGAGACATAGTGGATCCATAGCCAACGATGCAGCAGGCGAACTGGCCAAAAGAGGATCGGCTCTGGCCTCTATAGGGCCGGAATCAATCATACCAATCTCCTTTGGTAACGTTCGTTCACAGGTACGTACAAACTTCACTGATCAACACGATCAGCTTTGGATAAATCTAGTAGACTGTAGACAAGCTAGGGAGGCCCTGCCTGAAATAAACAGTCGTTTAACCAAGGTTCTAATGAGACTGAACAAGCCGCAGATCAGGATAGTAACAAGTGCTATCACAGGATATGGCTCCTTTAACAAACATTTATTTACCATAGGTGTTACAGATAGTCCGGCCCACGTGTTGCTGTCATGTCCGGAGGTCGCTGCATACAGGGCTAAACATCTCTGCACGCCGAGATCACTCCCCGAAGTTGCTTGCAACATCAAAGGACTGTTGAACTTCTTCAGGGAGATTTCATGGCCCGAAAACATTATTTCTGCCCACACGCAAAATACGCGTTTAGACGTGGAGTTGCGGAAAACAGCCCGTCGTAAATTAAACTAAACTAAAAAACTAAATTACATAATTAAAATAAATTATAATAGTATAATAAAACAAAATCGCTTCCCGCCGTCTGTACGCTTAGATATTTTAAATTACGCTACGGATTTTGATGCAGTTTTCATCAATAGACAGAATAATTCAAAAGGAAGGTTTATATTATATAAAACATGCATATTATATATAATTCTTCTGACTCTATAACAAAACGCTTTTTATACATTGTTAGTCCAGTGGTCATAAGCGCAGCTGATGATCACGTGGCCCTGGAGTGGAATCCTGGGTCAGACCAAAAAAAATCTATTTGGTTTTTGTGTCAAATAATTGTCATTGTGTAAAGACGTCGGTCTCCAGTAGCTTTGGACTGCCGTCCCTTCGAACTATGAAAATAAGGGAATAGAGAATGCACCTGCTTCGTTCACTCATCCTATACTACAGTCCAGTCTGGTGCACATGACTTGTCTTCTTTGAGACTGGTCGCCTTAACCGAAATTCTGTCTGCAGGAGATAATTACACTGTCTTAACATCGTGTTCATAAGTTAATTAATTATTTAGAAATTTCCTTATTCTTTTTAGTAATTTTAAATAGTTACGGTAAAAAATTCATCTCAGATTTTCCCACCTTTCCATTTTCTTCAATATTGTCAAATCAAACCTCTCTGTTACAGGTCGTATTACAAGACTTGGACATTTCGAGTTTAGCACCTAGAAAACCAGACTGGGATCTCAAAAGGGATGTGGCAAAAAAATTAGAGAAACTCGAGAGAAGAACTCAAAAAGCGATTGCAGAATTGATCTGGGAAAGGCTGAAACAAGGTTCTGAGGACAATATAGGAGCTATGGTGACCATGAGCAACAAGCTACCTGATGATGACTGACTTTATTTTTTTTTAATTAAATTCCTTGGTACATTATTTACAAACTCAATGTGTACATATTTAATTATATTTAATTTACAAAACGCTTTGTGATTTCTTTATTAATTGAAGTTGTATTGAAATTATGACCTTTTTTCATACACCTTGCATACTTTCCGTAAAAAATGCACAAGTAAAGTTAAAGGGCTGTAAGCTTATATACATCCCACTGTAGAACACAGTCCCACTGCTGAGTAAAGGCCACCTTTGAAAAGGTTTTAGTGCAAGGAAACATCTGGCACGATGCCCTTTGGTGAATTTCACATGGCTTCGAAATACTTTTTGGACATGCAGGTGTCCTCACGATGTTTTCCTTCACCGTACTTTCCAACTTGAAAAAAAAAGGAGTTACGAGGTCGTAGATTTGTCGATGACGTATGAAGGCGGCTGTTGAAAGCCATTTTAAGGGCAAATAAAAGGAATATTGTTTTTGGCGGTTTGAAAGCGTTATCCTCCAGATGTGAAAAATTTATTTGGTTTGAGAGAGACTAGTAAAAAATAAAATACTCAAGTACTTTTCTTTCATTTAATGCCGCTCGTTAAAATTACAATTAACAGAGGGCCCCTGAATATGAAAGTGTACCTCCTGAGCTACCACGGTCCAAAAATAAAATTAAAAAATGCAACATTGAATTAATTCCAAAAGTGAAATTGAACCTTATAAATGTAAAACTTATTAATTGTGAATTTTATTAACCCTTTTGCACATTATAAGAAAATGTCTTGTGTCAATTGATATTGAATTGAATTGAGAAATGTCTTATAAGAAATTCAGGCGTATTGGTTGTTATATGAGACCCTACATAATATGGTTGCAGTCTAAATGAGTGAGCCGACTGTTGTAACATGTATGGTCTCATATAACAACCAATGCGACTGAATTTCTTATAAGACAATTCTCATAAGACGCAAGAAGTTTTCTTATAATGTTCAAAAGGGCTGTGGAAGGAGCACGGTTGAACAAAATAGCAGCATAATGTTACTGAGTGTCGTACTATGATTGACGAGAACCAGATGACCCTTTTACTGGAAACGAGGCATTCCATTGCATCTTAGTGTCTGGGCCACAACATTTGTTTACCATCAGGTCGACTTTATACTCATTTGTTATTTTTATAATCTGTATATCTTATTGTACAAAAATAAAAAAAGAAGTTCTTAACATCATTTTCGTCTAAAAATAGCAAAATAATGTGCTGGAATTATTTTAATTCTTAATATAAAAATAGCACTAAAAATGCATTTATGGATCGTAATTTTTATATACAGTTTTCTGCCTGGGTTGTTTAAATATAACCGTAGCATAATTAAAACAACGTTAATGTTTTAAAACTCGTTTTTATTACAATTACCTATTTGCAATTTAAAGATCATTCATAATGAAATATAATGCATATAATATGTTGCATTCTAAATCTCTTCTCTTTACATCATACGCGATGCAGATAAACCAAGCGCGTATTTGATAGTGCTCTAGAATGAAATGAAATGAAATATCTTTATTTCTTCGACGTAAGATAGTAAAAGGAGACAATCGTTTTTGGGTCCACTAGAAACTTTAACGTAACTTAATTTTATCACACATAAAAAAGATACCAATTTATTACAGTAAACGGCCTAAAGATTTTATGAAAATGTAACCGGAATCATAAAATCTGAAAAAAAAAAGTTCTTTCGATATTCGTGAATTGGCTAATGTAATAGGAAAAAATAAATGCGTATAAAGAAGAACAAACTACTAAAAAAAATTCCATCAACCATAAAGTACCTATTAATGCTGAGTGTACCTACAACTTTCTTTTATACTATTAATCATAGCTATTAATTATTGACCAGTGCACTGTTTTAACTTATAATACCGATGAAAGCTACTAGACATATTTTAATTGTTAATTTCTCAGCATTCCCGTTAGATACGGTAAAATTAATATTACTATTGTAATCTATTGGTTATAAGGAATAAATCGACATGCTGTGTTTCATTAAGTTACGCCTGGTTACGGTGGTGGGCCCATTCTCAAAACAAGACATTGTCTCCTTTCGCTTTTTTATTTATATAAAATATTTATTGCGCCTATTGGACTAACTACACTTATTCAGCTCAATTCAGCTTTTGCCCATTGAAAACACCAGTTTTGTATGAAGATGCGTACGCAATACGCATCCTTTCAGCTTTCCCGTCTATTCAGCTTTCGCGGCAAGTGTTTCTATTATACGTACGCTAACGCCAGAGTTCAGCACTGTTCCACCGCATTCAGCGCTATTTTGCCGCATTCAGCGATGTTCTGCCACGTTCAGCGTTGTTACACTGCGTTCAGCGCTGTACGCGGACTGTCCTCTACGACAAGTTGCGACTTGCATTAGTTGATACATTTAATTCGCAATAATTTCGCATCAATTATCGAGAGAATGTGTATACAGAAATTCTTTTGTATTTTGCTTTTTTTAATAGGATAAGGGTGACAAACAAGCACACAGTCCACCTGATGGTAAGTGGTTGCTGTGGCCTATAGACTTCTACATCTATCCTCGATTAAGAATCAAAACACAGATGCGCTGCCACCCGTGAGGACTATGATGGAATGCCTCGTTTCCACTAAAAAGGGTCTCCGGTTCTCTACACTCACCAAACGAAACACAGCAGTGTTAAGCTGCTATTTTACGCTGGTATTCTGTGAGAGCGTGGTCCTTCCCCGGTCAAGCCGACCCATTCGTGCTACAACCATAACATAGCTGCAGCATGGCTCTACCACGTATAAACCACTTTTGTAACCCTGGCCGCAATAGGTCTGTAATTTCGTTAAATCGAAAAATTTCTGATTTTCCAAAGGGGTCGACCTACTGTCGTTTGCATTTATTACGTTCCAGTTTTTCTATTTCTTCTGAAAGAAGCGTAACGATAAGTAGTTTACCATGAGCATGTAATCGCTTCTCAGTCATCTAGCGCTGTACGCTGCAGATAGAAGCGTTTCAGCGGAGAAAGCACGCTTAGTGTGCCACGCCACAGAACTGTCGCGCTTTTTTATATTAACTGTGACTGGAAATCTAGAACAACTAAGATTTGTGGAAAGATTTTTTACCGTCATGAATATAAAATGGAAAGAAGAAAGAAATAGAGCATGTGTTAATTTAATTAAAAATTAATTGTTAATTTATTAATAATTTTAAAGGTAATAAATAGATCATTGATGGCCAAAGCGAAGAGCAATAACAAATATATATGGAAAATACATGAGTAGGTATATATAAATGTGTACTTTTTATTTCCTGAATTTCCTAAACGTACTATATTTTTGTAACTTTTTTGGGAAAAATGCTCGTATTTGTTCAAAAAAAAGGTGGCAACCCTAAACCAAAAACATCCAGCGAATTGCGAATGAAGCTGAAAAATGTAGTTACTCCATAAAGCGTAGCGGACTTGATGCCTTTGGGAACTCTTTACCAGTCGACCACAAGTTGAGCAGAAAAACCTAAGCACTTGCCTTTAAAACACACCTATAAATATATTATATTACTACAATTAAATAAAATATAAATTAATAGAATTGTTTTCAAAGATACACAAAAATAGTTTGTAATGTCGTTGTGTACGCTAAATTAAATTTTTATTATCGTCAATTAAATACCTACCTTAAATTTATAATATATTTTTCTTTTCGAGATTGACATTACGATATTATGCGCAACATTTAAGGTGGATGCCCCTATTACCAGCCTTTTAGTGACCATTTGAAAATTCGTTATTTTTAAATAAGAGCACAGTATTTTTAAACATTTGTTTTAATCGATAGGTTATTTATACAAAAATGTAATGAACATTAATTTACAATGTTAATGTTTCGAGAACAAATTCAAAAATGACGGTAAGCAAAAAAAGACGTTATGGCTCAAATTCCGGTCACTCTGTACCGAATGTCGTCCTTTTTTGTACCTAATGCCAACCTAGCATAGGGTTGTGCCCTTTGAGTTTTTGGCAGATACTTGTTGTAGGTAAGTTATGATAATTAAAATAATATGTTTAGAGGCACTGTAAACATTTTTCTTATTTTGAATTATGCATTTGTGGCATGAAATATGAATTAAGACAGATAACAATAATTATTAAATTCGTTTTACTACGTATTCGTACTTATCTTACTTTAGTAAGTGCTTTAATTGTAAGAAGTTCGATTTTCCTTTTATACAAAAAATTAAAAAATGTAGCACATCGATTTCTTATAAATTAATCTTCGAAGTTTTTTAATAATCATTATCATTGCATCACAAGTCTAGAGCTGAACATGGATACCAATTCACAATAAACTGCCGCAAATGAAGCTCCTGAGTCTTGAGCCACTATATCCTTATAATTAGTACTACAATTTTATAATTAACTATGATTTTTGCTGTTTTAGTCTCTCAAAAAATAATGAAAACTGTAAATATAAGGCGCTGTACAACAAATGTCTAGTTGAAAAGTAAATATATCCTTTTCTAAACTCAACTCATAAACCAATTTTTTTACCATAGACACAGCGATGACTCTCTGTACGTGAGAGTTAAAGCGCCGGTGACATTAAATAAGGAAATGGAATATTATAGACTTGTGCCAAAGAAGATACATAGTAGGTAGATATAATGTAAACTTATGTATTTAGGTATAAAAGATATGATCAATTTTAAATCAACTTTTATAAAATTAATATTTCCGACAAAACAAAATATGCACGACAGTTAATGGTAATCTTATATAATTAACCAACACTTAATATTTCAGTACGCAATAGTCAGTATTACCTACCACCCTTTAATAATTACTTACTTTACAAAACTTTGCAAAACAATTGCAAAAATTCGTAGCCGTATGTATAATTTTTTTTAGAAAATCCATAGGGAAGCATAGATAGATAGATAACACTTTATTTTACGCCAAAAAATTACATAAATATTAACATAAAATGAGAAAAATAAATGTGATACGATGGGTGCTCTTATCGCTAAGAACGATTTCTTCCAGACAACCTGTGGATGGACAGGATTGCAAAAAAACAATAAAAACGTGTGTGGTTTTTTTTTTATTAAGGCCATAAAATATAAATATAGAATGGTATATAAGCACATAGATAAGATAAATACATACATACATACTAATATATATGTATATATATACATATAAATACATAAAATTACAAATATATACTTTAAAACTATTATATATAATTTAAATGTGCCATACATATAAACAAATATTGTAACTAAATAAAGGTAGAATAATTATATACAAAGGAATAGGCATTGTTTTTGTATAAAGCGCAGTCAGTCTGTGCTTGCGTGCGGTGCGTGAGTTAAGAGAGACGAGACGTGAACTACTACGTGCTAGCCCTCGGCCAGGGCAGTCGGCGACGGCCCGTTCCACGCCCCGCGCGCCTCTTAATGCCCCCCCCCCCCACACATCCAGTCACATACACATAGCCGCAAGCGATTTTACGTGCACACATGCTTAAGTGTCGTTTCTTTTCGCGTAGTGTATATTTTCATTGCCATAGACGAATTGATCTTAACTTCCTTAGTGATGTCGTCTAAAGTCTCAAAATAAGTTGTTTAAGTGGCTGAAATTATGTACTTCTTATTAAAGTACGTCAAACCAAAAATAACAGTCTGACGGCTGATATTGTGCACTCCATACATTTCGTATATCTAATTACAGCCCCATTAATTTCCACCAAATGAAAATAAAAAACGTTAAAATTTAAGCAAAAATAGCTGCATTACTATGTCTATAGTCATATTCATACAAATCAAAAAGCCATAATGTAAAATAAGCTTAATTTTATCGGGACCATAACTTGTCGAAAATATTTATAGCTATATTCTAATATTTGAAATATAAGTATAACCCCTAGATACGAAGAATTTTTTAGTTGACATTATTTATAGTTAAGACCACTAGAAACCTTATTTTTGAAGTAAAAAGGCGAAAAGGCTAGTATTAGGGGTGTGGCTGGTATTAGGGGCATCCACCTAGTATTTTTTATTGTATAAATAATTATATTAACTACAGTTCCAAGGTCTTTTGCAACTTAACACAACAACTAAACGAGGGTCCCAATTTCTTTTATATATTTCAATTTATTTTAATATACATCCTAAAACTCTTTATATTAAAATGTTGACCCCGGATTATTGGGACAGTTTTGTATTAAGCTCAACATTTTAAAACATTTCGGCCTTACTCATAAAAAAAAATAAGTTAATTTAAGAAATGCATAAAGTTACTCCATTTCTCTTTCACGTAATGACAGCAGAAAATTAAGTATGATAGATAAAATTATGTCTTATGCGTTAAGTTGACGTACAAACAAGAGCACACACATATACATTTCATATTTGTTTATTTTATTAATTATCACACTCACACATTTGTTTTAATGCCTGGTATGTTATTGGCATTAAAGTATGCCAATAATATACCAGGTATATTAATATCACAGTTTATTAGGTATTTTAAATATTAGATAAATCACGATATATAAGTCTACGATTATTTATCTAAATTTGCTATTATAAGTTTAACGTAAACCTACATTTTAGTTTTTAATTATTATGAAATTTATTGTACATGAAAATTACCTACATATAAAGTTTTTTTTTCAATGTTACGTATTTATTTATTATTGTTTTTAGGCGATAAAAATTTATTAGTTAATTAAGGAATCTTTTTATTCTCGAAGTAAAAATAGAGATCAACGGCAAAGAAATTACAGCATACACACTAGCTAATGTAACATTGCTACGGTTATGTCCCCTTTTCCTTCTCTGTGTATTATCTTCATCCGGATTGTCCACTTCATTGTAATTGAAATATTTATTATCTACGTTGTAAAATACCACCCTGTCGCCGATGGGTTGTATTGGTCTAAAATTGTGTCGGATTTTGCCTGTCGCAGATCGTAGCTCTCTGAATGCTTCTATCTGAAATTTGAAATTACAACTATATTTTTTTATTTTTAAATTTTTTTATTTTATTATATTTTTATTTCTCTGACACTGCATCCTAATCTATGTCCGATCTTATCGCATAAGCACATTAATCACTGGTAGCGCTCTTTGTGTTAGCACACACTTACATATTATGGCCCTGTTAAATAAGTATCTCCTTAAAAACGTAATGGTTTTCTCTAATCTTCTATGCAGTGATATAATTAGCTTCAGCTCGCATTCGGAAGCTGTCGCTGTTGTCGCAATCTGTCAGATTGAGACATCAATCATCAATCGGAGATTATTCTCATATTACCCCATAAAAAGCTTATTTGTTTTTATGGGATTACTAATTCAATTCAGTATACATTATTATTACTACGTATGAAACTCTTTTAGAAAGATACATGTGAGCTGCGACAAAGACGTTCTGTTCTAGCGGTACAGGCTGTTTTATGTATGTTGTATCAGAAATTGATCATCATCATCATTACTGCCATTCATGTTTTTTTGCTGAATATAGGTCCTCCAATGTCATGAGCCGCCTACATTCATCGACGCTGCCCAGTCGAGTAGAATATGTCGATTGACTTCTCGGTCAATTTGGACTTTCCTAGTCGGACATTTTTTCCTAGTTAAACATACTCGTTAACAACTTCGAGTGAAGTGGTTTCAACAACTAAGGAGCGATCACGATATACCGACATTTAATTAGACAGCGCTGAAGGTAAATTGCACCGGCCTAATTTCTGTGTTTCTCATCGAGCACACACACAAGAATAATATGGCAGGTTGTACTCTGCGATCTTTTATACAATTTGTCGAAGGTTATGTATGTGGTCTACGGTACTAAAGACTGCGATAACCGGCTTGTTCGGAAGGTTGGAAATCGTCGAGTCTAACAGCAACTAACAAAGCATGCCTTATACAGGGTTTAATAAAGCAGACTCTCGCAGACTAATAGGTAAGAATAGCTAAGAAGTAAGGTAAGGTAGTCAGAAGAGAAGCCTTACCACCAAAACTTTTTAAACGTTCGTTGTACTTGTGATTTTCATATTAATATTGTCTTTATTTCAAACATTTTTAACTCTTAGTTTTAGCTCGATCTGTATGTACGAGTATATGAACAAATTGGAATTTTATAATTTTACTTTTCACCTACTTCTGAGCACAGGATTTGTACACAAGATGTACACTATCGTTTAGAGCGCGTCTTTGTGGACTGAATCACTTAATATTCATGATATTAGCTTAAAAAAGTGAAAGAACACGCAACGATCATGAGCTGTGATGATCCTTACAAGAATACAAATGGTTAGGTATATCACATGTAACTACTGTATTGTCATCGGTTATTAATACGTCTGCAAAATTTCGGATTACTGAGACTTCTGAAAGTAAGTGTTAACTGAATTACAAAATTCCATTACATTCATATATACATAACACATACATTATACGTGGTAGAGCCATGCTGCAGCTATATTAATAGTATAGTTGTAGCACGAATGGGTCGGCTCGACTGGGTAGGGACCACGCTCTCACAGAATACCAGTGTAAAATAGCAGCTTAATGCTGCTGTGTTTCGTATAGTAAGTGTAGAAAACTGGAGACCCTTTTTGCTGGAAGAGAGACATTCCATCTTAGTCCTCACCGCTGAAAACACAATCTGCATTTTGATTCGCAAACAAGGATAAATATAGATGTCTATGGGCCACGGCAACCACTTGCCATCGGATGGGCTGTGTGCTTGCTTGTCACCTTTATCCTATAAAAAAAAATACAAGTCAAGTTAATATAAAAAGTGTGTAAAAAGGTGCCAATACACGGTAAGTATCTCATACATACTTTTAATTTAACCCAATAGCGCTGCCACCTTAAGCATATTCCGACATAGAAATTAATGCCCCATAAGGAAAAATATTCTTCACGTCAGAAGTGTATTTATAATAACATACCTGATCATGAGCTAGTCTTACAGGCTGTTCGAAGTCTAGCCATATCACGACTTCAGAACATGGAGGCGTCGTTAGTGATCCTCTGTATGTGAAATATCTATTTAAGTCGTATGGTAAGATGTTGAGGATCGAGAAGGGGTGACTCATTACTACAGTTGTGTGAGGCTCCGTAACGTTTGCCAATGCTGCTGTTATGTCGTCGTAAGCTGGATGTTTGTGTCGGTCCAACTGAAATTAAATAATTTAAAATTTTGTACATCTGACTTCAATATAAATTATTGAGAATAACTCAAAAACTATTGGTCCGACCTTGATCAAATAAAAAAAGAATCATCGAAATCGGTTCACCCAGAAAAAAGTTATGAGGTAACACACAAAAAAAGAAAAAAGAACATACAGTCGAATTGAGTACCTCCTCCTTTTTGAAGTCGGTAGAAAATAAACTTTAAATGTATATATGTCTCTGTTGATGTTGCAGTTAAACATTCGATTTTTACGTTATTACAATTCTCATATCGAATCATGACAAACTCGAATCAAACAACAATTTAAAAAAATATACATCAAACAACAATTTAAATAAACAGTGGTAGAGCCACGCGGCAGCTTTTGCTGTCGCACGGATGGGCCGGCTCGAACCGGGGTAGTACCACGACCTCACAGAAAACCAGCGTGAAGTAGAGGTTTACCTCTGCGTTTCGCTTGGCGAGTGCAGGTGGCCGGAGGCCCTTTTTACTGGAAATGAGGCATTCCATCTTAGTCCTCACGGGTGACAACGCATCTACATTTTGATTTGTAACAGAGGATAGATGTAGATGTCTATGGGCCGCAGCAAGCACTTACCATCAGGTGGACTGTGTGCTCGTTTGTTACCCTTATCCTATAAAAAAAATATGAAGGTTATATGATGATTTTCTCCCTCGGATTAACGAATACTCCTATGTATTATTCCATTACCGTTTCACCCTATCAAAAGTCCCCTGCTATAGGCTTCCCCCATAATTACCTCATAGGGTATGTATTGGTTATGTATTTGTCATAGTTGTAACGCTTAGCGGACGGGTTGGCAACCGCAGTTTTTGTTTGAGTTGTTATCAGGAGGATGCTGCTGCCTATCTGGTTTGTTCGCCTCTTACGACACCCACAGGACGATCATAAGATCATCATAGATCTTTATAGTATTGATCATAGATCGATGCTATAAAGTGTAGTGTATATTCTTCCATCGCCACTACACTGTTAGTACCACGGAGCAAATACCAAGAGGAGGTGGCATAAGCAACCATAGATAATATACTATATAGGGCATAAGCAAATGTGCACTGTGATTCTAACTAGGTCCTGACGTCATCACAGTGGGCGTGGCTTTACTTAGTATACTGTCAGCACTCGTCCTGTACGCTTATGTATCGAAAAATTAAGAAGAAAAGGATGAAGTGTTGTGTTTTATCGTGTAAAAACTACTCAGATAGACGCTCTGATGCTATGGATGGCATCATATTTCATTTGTAATGTTATACCTAATTTATTAAAAAGATTCTAGAAAAATATCTGCGTCGGCTTTCAAATGTAATAGACTAGATGGTCGTGTAGTGGCCGTTAAGAATATCCACTACCCCATATCTTCCCGTGGGTGTCGTAAAAGGCGACAAAGGGAAACAGGCAGGAGATGGGCAGCAGCATCTTCCTAATAACAGCAAAAATACAATAAAAAAACTGCAGTTGCCAACCCGCTCGCCAAGCGTGGCAACTATGGCAAATACCCCCCAAATGGATAAAGTTATTAAGAGACGGCCCCCAGTCCCTGGTGGCCCCGCTATTCCTGGCTACGGTGGCGACCATGGTAACGGCGGGGCAGGGGGTGCTAAGAATCTCCGGTGGAGGTTCGGTTGCCACCTACGACAACTTGACCTGGCAACATACAACGCACGCACCCTGAGAACTGACGAGAAGATTGTGGGGCTGGAAGAAGAGATAGACAAGTTACGCTGGCATATTATAGGATTATCCGAAGTCCGAAGAGAGGGGGAGGAAACGGTAATCCTCGAATCCGGCAACTCGCTCTATTACCGGGAGGGCGACCATCTGTCCCAAGGAGGTGTCGGATTTATCGTCCACAAGTCTCTCGTTTACAACGTCGTAAAGATTGAGAGTGTGTCGACGAGGGTTGCGTACCTTATACTTAGAATCACCAAACGTTATTCGCTGAAGGTCATACAGGTTTACGCACCAACCTCGGCACACCCCGATGAGGAAGTGGAGGAAATGTATGAGGATATCTCTAGAGCCATGCATTCCTCCAAAACCCTATATACGGTGTTAATGGGAGACTTCAATGCAAAACTAGGCACAAGAGAGAATGGTGAGCTGAAAGTAGGGAAATTTGGAATAGGGCAACGGAACCCAAGGGGCCAGCAGCTGGCCGACTTCATGGAGAAAGAGGCACTCTTTATGATGAACTCTTTCTTCCAGAAGCGGCCCTACAGGAAGTGGACCTGGTCGAGCCCCGACGGTTCGACAAAAAATGAGATTGACTTCATTATGACGACCAGACGACAACTGTTCAGTAATGTCTCAGTTATCGCGAGGGTGAAAACTAGCAGCGATCACCGAATGGTTAGAGGCACACTGAACCTAAACGTTAAGTTGGAGAGGTCTGGTCTAATGAAATCAACGCTCCGTCTCCCTCGTGCTCTAATCCAAAATTCCGAAACCTTTCAGCTCGAGTTACAAAACCGTTTTCAGTGCCTAGAAGACAGCAATGAAGTGGACGATATGAATGACAAGCTCGTGGAAACTGTCCATGCGGTCGGAGCTAAGTTCAGCAAGACCCACCGCAGAAGGACACAAAAACTCTCCGATGACACTCTTAATCACATGGCTGTTAGACGGGAGATGAAGCTACATTCTTCAACAGATTTGACAGCATACAGGCAACTGAACAGACAGATCTCCAAATGCATGCGGCGGGACTTACGCAACTTCAATACAGCTCGTATTGAAGAAGCGATCGAGCGAATCCAAGGCTCCAAAATCTTTGCCAGAAATCTGTCTGCCAGAAAGAGCCAACTGTCAAAGCTGAAGACAGAATGTGGCAGCATCGTTTCCGGGGCACCTGAGATTTTGAGTGAGATTGAGAGGTTCTATGGGCAGCTGTACACGTCATCGTTGAAGCCACACGCGAGTGTGAGTAACGATCCAAGAGCGAGTCTTATCCGACATTATTCCGATGATATCCCGGACGTCAGTCTGAGCGTGATTAGAATGGCTCTCCAGCACCTTAAAAACGGCAAGGCCCCAGGCGAGGATGGAATTACAGTGGAGCTTCTGAAAGCGGGTGGAAAACCGGTATTTGAAGTCCTTCAGAAGCTCTTTAATTCCGTCCTCCATAGTGGCATTACACCGGAGGCGTGGAGCAGAAGTGCGGTGGTCTTGTTCTTCAAGAAAGGTGACAACGCTCTCTTGAAGAACTACAGACCGATTACCCTTCTGAGCCGCGTCTACGTGCTGTTTTCGAGAGTCATTACGAATCGTCTCGCGCGCAGACTTGACGACTTCCAGCCTCCCGAACAAGCCGGTTTCCGAAGGGTATGTATGTGACATACCCTTCGGCAAATTGTACAAAAGTCAGAGGAGTACAATTTGCCACTGTCTGGCGTATGTGGACTATGAGAAAGCCTTTAATTCCGTCGAAATTTGGGCGGTACTGCAGTCCCTTCAGCGGCGCCAAGTGGACTGTCTGTATATCGAAGTGCTGAAGTACTTGTACAGTAGGGCTACGATGGCTATCCGAGTACAGAACCAGAGTACAAAACCTATCCAATTGCAGAGAGGTGTAAGATAGGGTGACGTCATATCCCCAAAACTCTTCACCGCTGCATTGGAAGACGTTTTCAAGCTTCTGGACTCGAAAGGATACGGTATCAACATCAATGGCGAGTACAACACTCACCTTCGATTTGCTGACGATATAGTCCTTATGGCAGAATCGCTGGAGGACCTAAGCACTATGCTCAATGACCTCAATAATGCTTCCCAATGGATAGGTCTTAAGATGAACATGGACAAAACAAAGATCATGTTTAATGTCCATGTCACACCTATGCCGGTAGTTGTTGGGAGCACTAAGCTCGAAGTTGTTGACGAGTATGTTTACCTGGGACCAATAGTCCGACTAGGTAAGTCCAACTTCGAACGAGAGGTCAATCGACGGATTCAACTCGGTTGGGCAGCGTTCGGGAAATTACGGCACATCTTCTCGTCAGGTATACCTCAAACCTTGAAAACGAGACTGTACAACCAGTGCGTGTTGCCAGTGATGACATACAGAACTGAGACGTGGTCCTTCACTGCTGGCCGGATGAGGAAGCTCAAGGTCGCTCAGCGAGCTATGGAGAGGGCTATGCTCGGAGTTTCTCTGCGTGATAAACTCAGAAATGAGGATATCCGCAGTAGAACCAGAGTGACCGACATAGCCCAACGGATTAGTAAGCTGAAGTGGCAATGGGCCGGCCATATAGCTCGAAGAACCGACAACCGATGGGGAAGAAAGGTTCTCGAGTGGCAGCCTCGTACCGGCATGCGAAGTGTTGGGCGTCCCCCCACTAGATGGAGTGACGACCTGGTAAGACATGCAGGAAGTCGATGGATGCAGGTGGCTCAGGACCGTGCTTTGTGGCATTCCTTGGGGGAGGCCTATGTTCAGCAGTGGACTTGTGAAGGGCTGTAATGATGATGATGATGATGAGACACTAGATGGCTACACTTTGTGTCATGGGAGCTAAAAATATAAAGGTAGGAAGGTAAGGTAGAGCTCAGTATTGGTAAAATAATCATACGAAAGTGTTAAAATTTGTTTTGCATTCAGTCCTAAAGAATTTTTAATCGCCTAAATATTATTTTTATAGTTTTTATAATCATTTTGTAAACAGGCCGCCATCTATCGTCAAGGTACATTGCAACATCAATATGGAACGATGCGAGTAGTTTTACTATTTATCGGTAAATGGAAAATAATAAAGTGGGCGGGGCTTAACATCCCCCCACCCCGCAAATTGTCACGCGTTTATTTTCATTTGTTCATTGTCCTCTTTGTATTTGCTCCGTGGTTAGAACCCTTGGTAACATACAGTTACACCAATATTATTCACAGGAGTGAAAATCAAAAGAGCATAAAATCGTCACCATTTCACCCATCTGCAAAGGAGAATATAGGTAAGGTAACATGA